TCCAATACAAAATTACAAAATTTCATGCCGGATCGGCCGTGGCCCGGATTAACAACGACCGCGCTTCCTGCTGCCGTGTCACAGGGCGGGAGTGATAAATCTGCTACTGAGACACACAAAACAAAAAGAACAAACAAAAACAGGCCGCGTGTGACCGGCCTCAAGCAGTTGTCCCCTGGGCTCTGCGGTCACGCAACCAACTTCCACGGTGTGGGCAGCCGGGAAGTAACAATCGCCCTCACAATCCGAAATGCACACGAAACCTCTCTATTACTCACTCATCTTTGTCTTCATCTTCATCTCTATCATCTTGCCTTCCTTCCACTGATGCAACTCCTCGACTTGATAGCTCTCCACTTCCTCTCCACTCTGCGTCCACTAAAAACGATGGAAGCCAAAAAACCACCACCGACAGCCTCTTAAAGCCGCGCCACCAATTTCATATAGGAGCTCTTAATGTTAGGACACTTTGCCAAATAGGACAACAAGCATCACTAGCCAAGACCCTGGCATCACGAGCCATTGATGTATGCTGTGTTTCAGAAACACGCATACAAGACCCAAGTGTGGTTATTCACCTAACCCCACCTGGCCAACAGGTTGAATCTGCAAAATTCACCTTGAGGGTGTCAGGAGATGCCACAGCTAGTTCACGAGGATTAGCTGGCGTAGGGATAGCTTTGAGTACTAGGGCAGAAAAGACATTGCTTGACTGGATCCCGGTAGATAGCCGAATGTGTGCTGTCCGCCTGAACGGATCAGTAAGAAGGAGGAAGGACTGCACTACTCGCCGATGCCTTTTCGTAATCTCCGCCTACGCCCCCACTGACTGCAGTTCAGATGAAACGAAGGATGAGTTCTACCAAAAGCTGTCTAGTTTGGTGAGAAAGGCTAAACGCTCAGACATAGTCGTTCTAGCTGGTGACTTTAACGCTCAAGTAGGGAAATTGTGTCAATCTGAGAAGGATGTCGGTGGCACCTATGGAGTTCCGTGCCAGCGAACCGACAACGGTGACCGTCTCCTACAGTTCTGCTCTGATAATCATTTGTTTCTTGTAAGCACTAACTTCAAACACAAGGAGAGACACTGTTTGACTTGGAGACCCCCTTCATCAAACCAACGCTGGACACAAATAGACCACATAGCAATAAGCTATCGTTGGCGTGGGTCGGTAGGAGATTGTCGCTCCTTCTGGAACACGTGCGTAGATACCGACCATGCACTGGTCCGCGCTCGGGTGTGCTTACGACTGAACGGACGTAGGAAACAGCTGGCGGTAAAACCATCACGTCCCCAGCTCGATCAGGAAACTAAATCCGTATTTGAGGAAGAACTAGCTAAACACATATCTGTGTTCGACAGCTGTGCTCACCCTGAAGAAGCTTGGAAAAATATCCAGGCAGCCATAGATACAGCTGTAAAAGCTGTGAATAAGGTAAACCCAAAGGTGAGTAAAAACCACTGGATCTCCACCGCCTCATCCGAACTGATAGATGCTAGAAGACTTATTCCGGCGAGCTCCGAATTCAATGAGGAGCGAAAGCTGCACAAGAGGAAACTTACGAAAAGTCTCCGCAAGGACCGTGAACAGTGGTGGGCGACAAAAGCCAAAGAGATGGAGAAAGCTTCGAGGATAGGCAACACCAGGCAACTCTTTGGACTCATCAGGGAAACGGGTGGGAGAAGACAAATCATTAGTGAGACAATCTCGGAAAAAAATGGCACTATAATTAGCTCACAGGATAGACGACTGGATCGTTGGAAAGAGCATTATGAGGAGCAGTTTAATTTGCCCACAGCCACGCTCAACCTTCCGAGCATCCAACACCTCCCTGAATGGGATATAGACACAGGTCCTCCGTCACTAACTGAGGTTACTAAAGCTGTCACCAATCTGAAACTAGGCAAAGCAGCGGGACCTGATGGAATGACTCCAGAGGTATTTAAGTACGGTGGAGACAGCTTACTGTCCGGATTAACTGAGGTACTAGGCAGCGTCTGGGAATCAGAAGAAGTCCCATCGGGTTGGTGTAAGTCACTGATTATCCCCATATACAAGAAGGGAGACAAGTCTTCCTGTGATAATCACAGAGGGATTAGCTTGACTAATATAGTATCTAAAGTCTTAGGCTCAATAATCATGCGTAGACTGAGTGGTGCTCGGGAAGCACAAACACGAGAGAGCCAGGCAGGCTTTAGACCAGGAAGAGGGTGTATTGATCATATCTTCACCCTCCGACAGATTCTAGAACATAGGCATTCCTACCGGCGTCCAACAGTCATTATATTTCTTGACCTAAAGGCAGCATTCGACTCTGTCGATCGGGAAGTTCTCTGGAGATGCTTGGCTGTAAAGGGAATTCCGAGAAAATATATTGCACTGATTAAGGCACTCTATTCGTACTCATACAGCCAGGTGAGGGCTTACGGCGAGCTGTCATCTGAACTGATGACGACCAGTGGTGTCCGTCAAGGATGCCCATTATCTCCTTTTCTATTCAACTTCATCATAGATGTGTTAATGGACTTAACCCTAGGTGACTTCAGCGATTCAGGGATTGACTTGCTACCTGGGAATAATCTCGTTGACTTGGAATATGCAGACGATATAGTCCTTCTAGGCGAAGACGCTGACGAAATGCAGAGTCTTCTAAACACCTTGAACAGCAATCTACGAATGTTTGGCATGCGATTCGCTCCCGCCAAATGCAAGATGATGTTACAGGACTGGACTACATCGACGCCTAGTTTAAAAATAGGAAGTGAAGTGGTAGAGCACGTTGACCGCTTCACTTATTTGGGAAGTACCATCAGCCCCAACGGGCTGATCTCTGACGAAATCTCAGCACGAATACAAGGGGCTCGTTTCGCATTTGTTAGTTTACGCCGACTCTGGCGTAGACGAGATGTTCGACTATCGACCAAAGGGCGGGTGTACTGCTCATCAGTCCGCTCCGTCCTCCTTTATGGTTGTGAGACCTGGCCACTGAGAGTGGAAGACATGAAAAGACTAGCTGTCTTTGATCATAGGTGCCTGCGTTCTATTTCCCGTGTAAAGTGGCATAATAAGGTGAGCAACATGGAGGTTAGGCGTAGAGTTCTAGGTAAACAGGGGAAATCAATCGACGAAGTCGTGAAGCTACATCGACTGAGATGGTTAGGACATGTGTTACGTATGCCAAGCCATCGCCTCCCTCGACGAGCAATGTTAGCGGATATAGGGTCAGGCTGGAAAAAAGCTAGCGGCGGTCAAACAAAAACTTGGCATCAGTCAATGAAATCCACAACAGTTGGTCTAAGCCACGTAGGAAGGTGTAGACTTCCAGGCTGGGGTCCTCGGGACGGTAAAAATCTATGGTTGGAAACAATTGGTGACATGGCTCAAAATCGTTCTCAGTGGCGCAGATGCATCCACTCCCTGTGACTTATGATCTCCAATGAAACTGTTTTGTATTTCTTTATTACTCCTTTGTCTCACACCTCTGCTCACTGTTTCTATTTGCTTTTCTTGTACTTTCTTCTCTTGCTTCGCGTGCTACACGGAATGTGGCGACTTGAACTTCCGCACATTTGTGCAAAGTTCTATGTCGAAAACAGACAGACAGACAGTACCAGGGCGACTCTTCTGTTCAGTTTCCCTTGATTCTCAAAAATTCTCTAACGGATATTGGTTTGTGACGAAACCTACGTTGAAATTTTAAGTTTTTTCACAGACAGTTTTTTTGGCAACAATTAGTGTCACCGTATTTGGCTGAAATCAATGGTCAGAAACTTTGTCAATTGATGCTATGTTTCTGTTTCCCTCTTTCTAAACCTAATCTTACTTCAGGTAAAACTGGTAATTGAAGTAGGCGGCAGTTTCAAATGCATATCATATTTCTCACTTAACATGAGTAATGAACCTCAATAACTTCGACTGACTTACACCACTTACCTAATAGTTTTCTCCTAACCACATTGTTACTGAATCACTAGCTCCGCTTAATGTGCATAACTGATCGAGAGCACCTATAGTTAGAAACCTGTAGTCTTTTCGTATCTTTTATTTCGTGTACCCTTCAAGCTATTCCTTAACAACCATCGTCATTCGATTACAATGAACTAATATTGTCAAAGTTACTAGCATAAAATTACCACAGAGTAGAGGTCCTGTTTAGAGTTAAACACATATCAAAACAGTATTTCCACCCACAAAAGTTCTAGCTACAACAGTCTGTTTTTTATATTTGATCTAGACAAAATCCGCTTTAGGGACTACACTGAGTGTGTGTATCTCTAATAGTCACTGTAGTAAACAGTGTATTTATAAGTTAGCTGGTAAGATAATTAATGTTCACAAAATTAATCTTCAGCAAATGAAGCTGAAGTTTGGTGGGGAACTAGACAGAATTCAGTGCAATTCAACTCCTATTCATCCTAACTACATAGACAAAGACTATAAAAGGACCAGTATAAGGAAATTCTTCAAAACGTCTTATGGTACAAAGCAAACAAGTAGCGCATAAAACAGAGGTACGTTTCATCTCAAAGCGTATCTTTATCACTGAACCTGTAGTATGCATCTAATATAGTAGAATAAATAAATAAATAATTGTTGATACTGAATATTCTATATCATAGTTTACAATGTAATTCCAAGAAATTTTTTATTCCTTTGCGTTGCCCGTGGAATATAGGGCTTTAAGCTACAGCTGACTGTATGCCCGAAGAAAACATTTCAATGGTTATCTTGAGGAGATTCAAGTTCTGATGGAGTGTGAGGCGACCACACTTGAAAAGTAACCATACTATGAGAGGCTGAATCTGATGAAAATACCTGAAAAAGAAAATAACTTCCTCTTTTGTAACCCTTATACTATAAAAACATATATATTCTGGACCGATTGAATAGAACTAGAAATACATACAGATATATGTACTCCTCAGAAAAACCTTAGTGCAGAATACAAAAAGGCATAAGATACATACAAGTTTTACATAAAAAGAAATAAAAACTCACTGTGCACTTATACTTTATACAGTCTGACCAGTATTGCGAGGCGGAAAATTTAGATCTTATTACAATTGTGTTACCTGTCAGTAGCATTTGTCCAACTCCGCATATTCCACCAGCGGTATGATATAACGGGAGAGGATTATATATGGTATCGTAGTATTTAATACCAAATGAGTAGCGGGTACCAATAGCCAATAATGTGTATCGTAATTTTGTTATAATGGCAGGCTGTGATGGTAAAAAAAAAGAAAGCTTGAGAGCTGCGAGTTGTCATTCATCGGAAAATTATTCGTAAACGTGAAGCTCTGATGCACTATGAGATCCACCTGAAATCACTAACTGATGATATAGTTGGGACAGTACACAAAAATGCTCGTTATTCTGGTAAATGCAATGTCTCAATGTACTATTTAGTGACACTTTTCATAGTAAATCAATGTCGACAAGAAAATCGCTGAATGTCATGACATCTGTTCAACTGTAAACAATAAAAACTGTTTTGACTTATGGTATACGAGCTTGCCTTATAAGCAGAAGGTCCTGGGTTCCAACCCCAGTGGGTGCGTACTACCGATGATTCCCAAAACTAGGATGAAACAGCTGTCGAGTACTCCCTGGTTTTCAATGGTTCTCTAGCTGATATCAATCCCTGATCAACTAGTAAAAACAAAAATAACCCTCACAAACCAAACTATAGAAAATTATGCATAAAATCCAATTTATCGATTGAATTCCACGATTAGATGAGATTTCACAAGAAAACAGTAGTCATCCAGTTATATACGTGTTACTTCACAAAACACTTCAAGTTACAAGCTTGCAATTAATTACGACAAAAAGCCTTGAAATAAAACGTCAAGATTTCGAACACTTAAAGCGGCGGCAGTGTTTCAGGAAAAAATGAGTTGGTATTCAGCAAGAAGACGAAGGGTAGATATATGAGTAGTTTACAGTGATCTAAGGTTGGAGATTATTATTATTATTATTGCTCCCTTGGGTTCCTAGTGGAACATAGGGCTTCAACTGCACGTCTCCATTTTCTTCTGTCTTCTGCTATACTTTTCGCCTGCATCCATGTTAATCCATATTCTTTCAACTCCTCTTCACACGATCTCCTCCATGTCACCCTTGGACGTCCCACACGCCGCTTCCCTTTCGGGTTCCACTCGAGGGCTTGGCGCGCGATGTCACCCAGCGGTCTCCTCAGCGAGTGTCCGATCCATCTCCACTTTCTCCTGCATATTTGTTGGGCGATTGGTTCTTGCTTTGTTTGTTCCCATAATTCCTTGTTGGTGATTCTTTCCGGCCATCTGATCTTCAGTATTGAGCGAAGACAGTTGTTAATAAAGGTCTGCAACCTTTTGGAAATATTCTTTGTGACCCGCCAAGTTTCTGATCCGTATAGAAGAACTGACTTTACGTTTGTATTGAAAATCCGAATTTTGTTGGTGATGCTGAGTGACGAAGATTTCCAGATTGATTTCAGGCTGATGAATGTGTTTCTCGCCTTCCCGATTCTCGTCGATTTGACATCCTCGTCCGCTCCTCCTGTAGTTGAGACAATGCTCCCTAGATAAGTGAATGAAGTAACCTCTTTCAAATCCCTCCCATTGATGGTGATTGACGTTGGATGTTGTTGCTGTTGTTGGTTGGTTATTTTCATAACCTCCGTCTTGTCTATGTTTACCTGGAGTCCTGTCTTCGCCGGCTGCTTCTTCGACCAGTTTGTCGGTTTTCGCTTGTAAGTCTTCGATTGTGTGTGACATCAAACATAAATCATCCACCGCGAAATCCAGGTCTTCTAGGTTCTTCACGTCGGTCCAGGATATTCCTGTCTTCTCGTTTCCCACTGTCTGACGCATAATCCAGTCCACCACAATTAGGAATATCATTGGTGATAGTAAGCACCCTTGTCTGACTCCTGTGTTTACTCCAAACGCCTCGCTGAGTTTTCCGTTGTGGATCACTTGACATGTGCCGTTGTCGTACAGCTGTTGAATAAGGTTGATGAATATTTGGGGTACGCCATAGTACTCGAGTAATTTCCAAATTACTTCACGGTCAACGCTGTCGAAGGCCTTCTCAAAGTCTATAAAGTTGAGGTAGAGGTTTGATTGCCATTCCATGCTTTGTTCTGTGATGATGATGCGTAGAGTTGCAATTTGGTCAGTACATGATTTGCCTTTCCTGAATCCAGCTTGTTCTGGTCGGAGTTCTGTCTCCAGTGCGTCCTTTAATCTCTCCAGGATGATGCGACTCAGGATTTTACTTGGCGTCGATAGGAGCATGATTCCTCGCCAGTTCTTGCAGAGTGCCTAAGTCGCCCTTCTTTGGTAGTTTCACGAGGTAACCTTTCCTCCAGTCAGTAGGCACCTTTCCCTCCTTCCAGACCTTTTGCAATAATGGAGTCAGCATGTCTGCTGTCGTCTCTGGGTCCGCTTTCAGTGCTTCAGGGGGTATTCCATCTGGTCCGGCTGCTTTTCCAGCTTTCAGAAGCTTGATTGCATTCAAGACTTCAGCTCTCGTTGGAGGATTGGTGTCAACTTGCAGTTGTGTACGTGCTGTTGTTGGTATTTCTGGACGGGTTGCAGGTGGTGGTCGGTTCAAGAGTCCTTTGAAGTGATCCGCCCATTGTTTAATCTGTTTTTCTTCCTTGGTAATGGGGTTCCCTTGGCTGTCTTTTATAGGTTTCGCTTGTGTTGATCTCTTCCCGGATAGAGATTTGGTTATCTGATATAGTGTCCTCAGGTCCCTTTTGCCTGCTGCCTTTTCAGCTTCAGTGGCTAGGTTGTCGTAGAATCGTCTTTTGTCCTTCCTAGCACTCTTCTTCACTTCTTTGTCCAATGCTTTGTAAGTTGAGCTCATCGTCTCCTTCTCCTGTCCGTCCTTGCATTGAATCATTTTCTCTTTCACCATTCTCCTCTCTTCTATTAATTTCCAAGTGTCCGTTGAGAGCCATTCCTTGTCTTGTCTCTTCTTTCTTCCTAGAACCGTTGAACACGTTTCGTTGAGAATCGCCTTCAGAGACTTCCAATGTTCTTCCACGCATGATTCTTCAGTGATGTCGCGTAGTGTTTCCTGCTTTGCTCTGACAGTTGCAGTGAAGGTGTCTTTTGTGGTTGTGTCCTTCAGTAATTGAGTGTTGAACTTGCATTGTGGCCTATCCCCAGCTATCCTCGAGGCTTTTAGTTTCACCTTGAAAGTCCCTTCTACTAGATAGTGGTCTGAACCCACATCTGCTCCTCTCCTTGACCTTGTGTCCAGTAGGCTCCGTCTCCACTTTCTTGAAATTGAGATGAAGTCTATTTGGTTCTTGGTGTTTCCATCTGGTGAAATCCATGTCGCCTTGTGTATATCCTTGTGTTTGAACACACTACCACCAATCACCAAATCATTGAAGGCGCAGAAGTCTGAGAAGAGTTCACCATTGTCGTTCATTTCACCGAGGGCCTCACGACCCATGGTGAGTTCTCTTCCTGTGTTGTCTCCTCCCAGCTTCGCATTCATGTCGCCCATCAGGATTTTGATATCGCCATTTGGGACGTTGTCCATTATTGCTTGTAGTTGTCTGTAGAACGCCTCCTTCTTCTCTTGTTCTGAGACGTTTGTAGGCGCATAGCATTGAATGACTGTAACTTTCCTTCCTTTTGAGTTGAACCTGGCTGTCATTATCCTGGAGGAGATTGGTTCCCACTGCATGAGAGCTTTGGCTGCTGTTGGTGACATCATGATGGCCACTCCCTCGGTGTGCTCGTGGTTGTCCTCTGGGTGGCCGGAAAAGATTACTGTCTCTCCAGTAGGTAGTTGGCACCTTCCAGTTCCGTTCCATCTGCTCTCGCAGATTCCCAACACTTCTATTCTGTACCTTCTCATTTCAGCGGCTATCTGGGCAGCCTTTCCAGTTTCGTACATTGTGCGAACATTCCAGGTACCCATCCTTACTTTTGCTTTCATCGAAAGAAGGCACATCGGCTGACTGGCTTCCCGAAGGCTAGCTTTCACCAGCCTGCGTCATTTCACTTCCCCGATTCCAGCGAAAAGTAAGGCTATTGCTTATGTTTTTAGAATTTTTAATATATTTATTCGTTGAAGTTTCTGTAGCGATTTGGTTGTTTTACAGGGGTGGAGTTGCTAGCACCACGCCCCAACCCTCCCTCTTTACCCGGGCTTGGGACCGGCGAGAAAACTAGTAAGCTAGTAGCCTAGCAAGCTAGTATCTGGCGAGGTTAAGGTTGGAGATTACATTACAAAAATAAGTAACACTTTCCAAGACCTCCTTCTCTGGGACAAATTTCTAAATGCTTAAAAAATTAATTTCACTTTTATTATTAATAAAAACTCCGAACTAGTTAAGCTTAATTTCCATATTTCTGCAGATTCACTATACTCCTACGAATAACAAGATACAGTTTTTTACTCACCTTAGGAAAACCAGTGGTACCACTGGTATAAACATAAATTAAATGTTCACGGTGATTATCAGTTCTTGGAAGTGGTGGTGGATCAGAATGTGAAGCCTGAGCAAGTGCCATATTCCAGCTACATTTTGACGGTGTTGAATTTGAAATAGCGAATTCCGGAGTGCTGTTTCTTTCATCAACTATCCACATCAATTCAAGGGAGAATTCCCCATATTCCCTGACCATTTCAAACGTTTCGTTTAGCAAAGATCCTACAACAATCCCACGTGCATTCAATGCTTTAATACTATTGATAAGTGATCCTTTACAAAGATTAGTATTTAGGAGACCTGTTGCAACACCAATCTGTTGAATAAAAAATTAATTAAACAGTAAGAAGCTTTAGTACGAAAGCTTGTAGAAAAAAATCCTAAGAAAGAATGCATATACTGATGGCAGTAGTTATATTAATTTTCCTTAAGCCTGCACATGACTGTCAGCAATATATATATATATATATTATTTTTGATTACAGTTTGATTCCACACTGTATTTTTGGTACAAGTATGGAATTTTCAGCACGGATATCGGTAGCCCAAATTTTGCAGGCCGACCATAGATATCAGGTGTGGGTCGGCAGGAGATCGAACCGCGAACCATTTGCATGGTCGGTGAGCGTCCTAACCGCTATATATATATACGTGCAGAATTCCCTGTTACCTGGGACGGCCAGAGATAGAAATATTCCGGATTCCCATCCAATAACTAGTACCTTAGTTAATCATCACCATATTCCCTAAACGCCACCAGAGTCAAATACGCAAGTCCTGATACTTTGGCTTGTTTAGTAATAGAAAAAATCATTTGCGTATTCGATTAAGGTTGAAAGACTCATGTCTTTTTACCCGTGACGCTGGGGTCAAATAATGAGTAACTCTAAGGTTGGACTGCGCTTCGAAGTGCTACGTCCACCGCTCCATCCACCACTTCTAAGTTATCAAACTTCCGTTCTTATCCGAAATCCCCTTAGCATAGGGTTTTCAAGATCTACAAACCTAATGAAACTAAAAGGATGACGGGTACAGCCTAATCCAGAAGCCTTTCCTATTTTTTGCGTCGTTTTTACTCACTACTGTTCGCAGTCGTTAAGAAGAATTTTAGTCATCATTAGCTCTTCATCATTTAAGGAAACCGCAGCAATTAGTATCCTTGCTTGGATCAGTGTGAATGAGACTGCAGAAATCTATTGGGTGTTACTATTTTTTGACTGAAAGTTATCGAATGTCTTCATTAGTGTTGCTCCAGTAGACTAGACATAGTGGTAACTTTCTTCAGGAAGTGTTTTTTGTAGTGGCCAGACAAACGTTCAGTTACCTTCTAACGAAATACTCATCTGAAATTCTCAACGAAGAGTTGGACACTTAAAGGCTTCGAGACATCTAAGGAAAGAGCCATAAAATACATTTCTGCATTAAACCAAGGAATAACCACTCTTGGATTGCAAAATTTATCTACAAGGTTTACAACCTCCGATCTACTGTGATGGTTTTAAAAGCACATGTTGCTTATATCGCAATTGCTAAGGTGGGGACAAGAATAAATCATGTTATTAGAATAATATAATCAAATCCAATATATTCAGAACCCAGGGTAATATATTTATTTAACAGCTTACTTTAGCTGCACCAAGCCATATCCCAATATATGATGGACAGGAATGCATAAACAGAAGTAAAACATCACCCCGTTTAAAGCCATACTTTAACAGATGATTTGCTACTCTATTTGAATACGCATCCAACGCACCAAAAGTCCATACTTGATCTTCATAGTAAATAGCAACTTTATTCGATCCGCGTCTCCTAACAGTAGATTTGAACATATCAGCAAAAGTTTTCCTTGTCCATATGAGCCAATAAGTACTTAACTGTATCATAAATAAGCATCGTAGTCCTCTGAAGAATAAATGGCAAGTATAGCACATACACGTCACAAAAATAAACAAAATTTAAGTAGACAGTATACACAAGACTATGTTTCACAACCCAATCAAGTATTTTTAGTGCAATCCCGTCTATAAGAAACGTATTCCTAAATGAATGTGCAACAGCACGAATAAATGCACCAACCATATGAACTACACAAGTGATACCGAATTTTCGTTACAAAACGCTATATGGCATGAATAACAAATTTGAAATTTAACCTATATAATATTATGGGGGAATTCTTTTGTTTGTATACTGCATACTTAAATTTTGTGGTATGCATTTGAACGGAGATAACACATACACCTTCAATACACGTTTAATTCAATCTTAATTTTCAGTCAAGTGGAAGAAGGATAAGTCACCACAAGCTTTAACGTGACCTACACCTGAAAAAAAGCAATTATCAGATACTCCTCTTTATAGTGGAGGAAACTTCATGAGATTTAAATCGACATAAAAAGTGGTGTTTATGAAATGGCATTAAAAATTGACTAGAGTATCTAATTCGAAAATTAATTGCTTAATTTTTATCAATGCTGTCTTCCAAGTTTTACCGTTTTGGATGATTTCAGCAGTCAAGGCCAAAACAAAAGCTTCAGTTACGGAAAATTGAAATGTCTTACCCTAGCCGAAATCTCCAACAGAAACCCGTTAGGATCTGAAGATCTTCACTAATTCGCATAACTAATGGTCTTCAACTTCAGTGACACTTAAAGGTTAATCATTTACCAAACAAGATAAGATGCAAAAGCTAGTAATCCGTTGATTACTTTGATCACTTGCTATTACTACAACCCGACAAAAAGTAGGGTATAATTATTTGTAATAGTGTGTTGTAATTGCTCATCACATTACTAATATGATCACACACATACATATCAAATAGGAAATAATAAATGGTTAAGGAATGAGGAACGAATGTACATGATATTAAAAGGCTAAATTATAGTTGCCAAGATTGTGAGAAGATTAGGGAAGAGTAAAAAATAAACTTATGTTAATCAAAGAGGTAGTTTTGAAATAAATATTCAGACAGCTCTTGTGCATGTTAACAGCGGCTAGTAACAGAAAACCATAGTATCACTACAACCAGTTATGACACTGAACCAAATGTGGTGTCGTTCCGAACTATTGATTTCCATTGTGTCTCGGAGGTAGACATGTGGGCCATCTTAACGGTCACTATTCTCACTTTGAACTGTCCCAGGTATTATTTCGTTTGTCCCACTTGTCATTCTAAATCAGTTTTGTTTTGCAAAATTCACACACTGTTGAGTAACGTTTTATTCTTATTCTATGTGCCTACTAATCGTATAATTGTACACCCCTTCCAAGTTTTATACACCTATGAATTATTCTATATATGGCATTAATTGTTCTCCCACTTGACATTCAACTAAGATTATGATTATAATCACAAACATTTTAGTTTTAATTGCATTTCATTCTAATATTATTATTCTTAATTTTTGCATTCACACCTATGATTCAATTCCCTCACCGGATATAACTTCTTAAAAACCATATATACATTTATATATATAAATATATATATATATATATACATATAAGATTGATTGTACAGCTTGACGATAAATTCGTTCAGAAGAATCTCTTCGCTAAATCACTTGTTTTAATTTTCTAAATGACTATTCTCCTTGATTTTTATTTAATAATAAACCAATGCCTTTTAACATCCAGAAGTCTTCAGTACAACGGGATGTCCACAAGACTTCAGTAAATCGAATATCCACATAGTGTAATTAGGGCAAGATTATCTTTGAGGAAAGAGCTGTTCTAGCTTCCTTAGCCTTATTTTAATATTCATGGATTTACAATTGTAGAGCCTGAAGTTATCGAAAACAGCTGTTAACTTAGAAATCATCTTATCCAGAGGTTTGATTATATGCTAGAGTGCAATGTCTTTATTTGCATAAAAAGCATGCATATTGATGGCGGCAACGCTTAGACGCTGCATTGTGGTTAGAATACGCGCTAAGGTAGCAACTGTAACATCTCTCTCTGTTGGATAACTATTCTGTGGCCGACTAAATTACATCATCCGATGAACATTCAAGCATATAACTCGAGTGATGCATGAAGATTCACCAATGAAAACCATGGAAACTAGAAGGCAATATTTAGTCGAGAACAACTACAGGGGGCATTTGTTTCCCGACACGAATTTAAAGCAAACAACGAAGGTTAATGAAGCAGGATTTTCGGAATTTCTCAAATTTTGGTAGAACTCGAGCCGAATACTCAATATACGGGGATATATATAATATTAGTAATACATTGGGAGACATAAGACTGATAACCACATAAGCTACATTCAATCGATCATGCAGAACGACAGGTGGGAATGTTTTTCAAGTCATATTCAAATTGATAACAGGCAGTATGATAGATTAAAATCCAGATAAAATGCATTACGATTCATTTAAATCACTTAAATAAACAATCAGTTACCATTAAGAGAACTTGAATATATAACCAATTGCCACGGGAGTGATAAAAAAATATGGTCTTTAATGCATGTTAGTTTCTAGAACTCCATTCACTTCGAGATACTACAAACAAACTGGTTTACTGAAACAACATTGTCACATCTAAATAACCAATTTTCATCTAAATAATAAAGCCCAGCAAACAAAATGAAGTATACCAGCTTTAGGGGTAGCAACGAACTGCAGGAATTTATCCACTCCCATGTGCTGACTGTAGTACTAGTTATATCTGCAATGTGGTTACAAGGCTAGCTGACTCGCCATAGTGGTGCAATTTTAATTAAATTTGAGTGATGAGGGAAAACTGCATAAAAGCCCTGACACTAGGATTTAGGTATACTGGTACCAATCAATAAGAATTTATTTGCAACCATTGGACGAATTGATTTTCCATTGCAAGTTCAAAAGTGAGTCACACATTGCGTCAATCTATGACTTCGAAACAGCTAACGGTACACTCAGCTTAAACCTTGATTTTAAAGAATGCGTAAAACCTTAAAATAATTGAAATGTCAAATATTACGAGCGCTTAGAATTCTTCTCATGTTGATATATACATATACAAAAAGAACTAGATCATATAAATGCAGTGAAATCAAGCTGTAAATGCTTTAGAAAGCTGAAGACAATAGTACGAAGCTCCGAAAGGAGATAGAACAAACTACTTACATCAAGTCCCTGTAAACAGTCGCTAGGAAAATGCGCTGATACCGCCATCCTCCAATAGGAACATATATAAGATATGATGCGATAAGTGACTCAAATAGAGAACGCTTAAACAACAATCCAATTGTGAGGAAGGACAAATGAAAAACAAAACATGGGCGCCACGTTATTGACTGCATCCACTGAAAGTTATCACTCGACATGCGTTCAAGGACACATTTGAATTCCCCAAATTTTTGCTGCTGATTAAAATTAACTGATATAAACAACTTAATATATTTAGGGTGAAATTGGAACAATTTGCATATTTCTTATAAGCCGGAAGGACTGAAGTACAATTATTCTGATATTTTCAGCCCGGCAAGAGATAAATATATGTGTAAAACTTGAGCACAGTGGTAGTAAGTAATTCCATATTAGTTTGTTTATTAGATTTATCACGTAGTGAAACAGTATTATTCACTGAATGACGTTCTAGAAAACGTTTATTGTCCATAATAATACCAGTTATAATCACACGACTTTGAAACTTGAATTTTATAGTTTTACTTGTTCTCTCCTATTTGCTGTCTTTGAAGTAGTAGAATTTTCCAGATATCTGGGACAGGTGTTGGATCTTTCCTGTCACATGTATTTCTTTTCGATAAACAAAGCTTCTGTTATCAATATCCCACTTATCCCATCTAGCCTGCTGTATGGTTGTTGGTAAATGCATGTGTTGCTATCGATGGCCGAACTATTGCCCAAATTTCTTATGTTATTCGGGCGAAACAGCCATGATTTTACTAGGTTTTCATGTTCCACTAGTCTGACTGCTCCCGTTCTACCGCTTCGACTTATGTATTTGACCTGACAATCACTGCACTCAGGGGATTAGGTTAACTAAATTTTTTTGTTATAATGGCTCTACAGGATCCTTTAACCGACGAAGCTTGTTTTTAATTGAGTTTCTGGGTTTGAATGGCAGCCACTTTTATTCCTGCCTTGTTAAGAATTCTGCGTACGGCTTCCGAGGTTCCTTCCTTGTATGAAATTACTACTGATGATTTAGATTCCTTATTGTTGGTGTTGTCACTATCCTACGCATGTTTGACAGGCATGTCGTCATTAATATTGCCATTTTTATTAAAATTATCATTATTATTATTGCTATCACTATCACTACTATCATTACTTATTTTATTTTTACATTTCCCTACATACTTTCTGACTAATTTTTCAGAATAATTAATAAGTTTCAGAGCTTCTCTTACTCGCCTCACTTCCTGTCCTAGATTTTCTTTGGTACTACTTAGTTCTGTGCAGTATTACTTAAACATTTCACCAATCCCACTTTCACTGACTTAGGATGGGATGACGGGGAGTCCAAATATCTGTCTGAATGTGTGGCTTTCGTGTAAACACTAGCGTTTAACTTCCCGTCCTTTTTTATTTTTACTCTGCAATCTACCGGCGCCGACGATGTTTCGCACTTTTCTGTCGCGCTGTCTACACGCATATTTCCTGACTTCGCAATAAGGCCATTAGACAAGTACCAGGTCTTCCTCGAGTAATCCTTAACTTTTTAATTTTACTCAAATTTACTGAGCACTTGGGGACATTTCCTTAATAGTAAAGTCTTTTTAATATGAGTTTTGTCACCAGCACTTCAAGGCTACGTGCAGTACTGAATTTTTGGGAACATGGATAAATTAGGTTAGGTAAGTGCTGGTGAAGTGTAGCTCATCAATGGTCCTACCAGCTTCTTAGACGTCACAACTAAACCCTTTCGAAACACTAGTGTAACACACTTTATACTGAAATGATTAGATGAGTTCCAGAACAACCTAGCTAACTACTTCCAGCATGTCCCTGAAAAATACTTTAAATGAGTCATAATCTGAAAGTACCGTCGTCAAACACCAGTACAGACTAACGTCTTGGTATATTCCATGGTATATATGTTTTGAGACATCTGATGGGAGTTCCAAGATCCATCCAAGCGTGTGGACGTTAATATCGTATCCCAAGTTTTTCCGCCAGTGAATAATACCAAAAAGTTAAAATAGTGGTAATGTTAAGTTATTTCATTGTCAGAATAGTAAATAACTATTTGATTTGATTTTTGATTTACAGCTTGATTCCACACTGTATTTTTGGTACAAGTATGGAATTTTCAGCATGGATATCGGTAGCCCAAATTTTGCAGGCCGACCATAGATATCAGGTGTGCGTCGGCGTGGGCTCGAACCCCGGACCATGTGCATGGTCGGCGAGAGTCCTAACCACTGTGCCACCGATGCACAGCTGGCCATTTTCAAAAGCAGCTAGTAGCGAACAATATCAGTGGCCGACTACAAATTTTGCGAGTCTGCCAACCCACTGAATAATTCATAAATTCTTACCGCGCATACAAAATCTCCCCAATAAATAACCCATAATTTAAAACGGTATATTTTTCATGGCTGAACTCTTTTCTACTCCAAGGCTCAAAATTCAGAGTTTTATATGCCTCCTCCTCAGTACTTGTGAAATGTAGTCAACCAAAGCACTTCCCGCATCCACTGTGACCTCAAACATCTTCTCTTCACCAGTTAATGGTTTGTCTCTCCTGACAAAACTTAAGAAGAAAAGACGATCGGTGAGGTGAAGTTATAGCAGCTGCCCTGAGGGACCTGCTGACCTTGAGCAGGTAATCATAATTAACAAGTAGTGGGAGAATCTGGGTTATCGCGACTACATATTAAGTTGCTTTGAGGCTTGTTTATACTGCTGATCATGTTATTTAATCTAGCAAGGGATTAGTTGTCTCTTCAAGGTTCTCCTGCAAATGCATGTTTAAGTTATTCCAGTCAATTCAAACAGTCGATCTTCTTGGAACTCTCCGCACAAACGTTGACAACGAAGGATAGTTTGCTCAGTTTGTGCCACCTGCAACGACATTTCGTAGTCTTAAGTAATATGCCATAGTTTTAATTTCCCAAACGGTCAACAGATTCTTAAGGTGAACAGAAGCTAGTGGTCACATTGTATTGGAGTTGTAAAATCTTACCATCCTGTGTACATAAAAACGTTTTTAGTTAGGCGTTATCACTATGTCTTTCCTCCATCGATTGGTGTCAATGTAGTTGAAGATTGAACGATCAATTCATGGTTGTTTGCTCAAAACCAACTTCCCTAATTTTCGCGGAGGCATCAATACGACAGTCATCGGTCGCTGTTCAGAAAGAAGGGTAAAACACCGTCAGAAGTAATATTGTGATTTATTATTGTAATATTTGTTCACAGACCTTAGTCATACTTGATTTATATGTTGGTGTAACAATAAAGAATCCTCGAGTCAACAACTGGTGTTTTGGTTTTTTCGTCCGTTATTACTAAGCGACGACGCCCATGAAATCAAGTATCTAGTGCAATGATTTTCATAGTATTGGTGCGTTTGAAAAGACGAAAGATATTGCTCGGTTTAGTGAGAATAAGCCAAGTGTAAACGAAAGAGTAATTGTTAAATTGACTTGCATGAATAAAGGCATTTCTTGTTTCAAGTTACTATTTGAATGCTATTATCTTTGGTGTAAATTACTCTGTTTCTACACTTGGTTGATGAGATATGTCGTGTGTTTGTTCGTCACCTATATTCTACGATACAATGACATGGGCGTGTTGCCATTCAGATTTGAGGATATAGCTCATAGAAGGAAATCAGCAAATGAACTCTGCGACGATTTTCCAACCTAGGGCGTCAACCTGAGAAGGGTTGTAGGCGTACTGCTGTAAGTCCTACAATTCTTCAAAGGGTAGCGCATCAATGAGCAGTCCAATGTGATTGGTGTGTGATTTTGTACATATGTTCATATTGTATATACTGAATTGATACCATCTGTCATCTGTCTGTTGGTAATTCTGTTTGAGTCCGGACGACTTGCACTTGGATCATCAACCTGAGAAGGAATGTAGGCGTACTGCTGTAAGTCCTACAGTTCTTCAAGGGTAGTTTGTCGTGCCAGAATCCAAAACATCTGATGTGTTGATTGTACTTATGTTTGTGTTAAATAATTGTGTGAGTTCCAATCATTGTAATTGTTAGTTAATGTTGTTTGTGTCCGGACATTCCACAACTTACAATCGTCAATCTGAGAAGGGTTGCAGGCGTACTGGTGTAAGTCCTGCAATTCTTCAAAGGAATTCCACCAAGACATGATCCGCGAGGTTATTTATACTGTTTGTATATACATGTGGTGTGTCATATCAATTGGTGTTTTTGGATTCATAGTGTTTACTTGTTGTTTTCATACCTTGTTGTTATTGCATAATTTTGTTAAAATTTTCGTCGTGATTACTTCTGAAGTTGTTTCTAGTCTTCTACATCCATGAATGAATTGATTGATTCTAAGGACAGCAGATGGGTCGTATACGCCGGGGAGGCTAGGCTATTGCTGAGAATGAAATGCATACGGAGATAGTTCTTAGGTGCGGTCCCACACTACGGGGAGCGAAAGTGTAAACGACTGAGGCTCGCATACGTCACCGTTACTAGAACTGAGGCAGAATGAGTGACAAGCGATTTCAGTGGTAATTGGGAGTGAGTAGATACGAGGATGTGCGTAGAGTATCGTGAGGTGGTGCTATGGTCACGCTGCATTCTGCAAGAGTCATTCTAGCAAGTGGCGATTGTATTGCAAGATGTCAAGAGGACACCTTTAACTGGAAGGCGGAGGTCGTCATTGATGTGTGAGATTGTGCTGTGGGTATGCTTGTGGTGTGTTGGCTTTTCTGTTTGTTTTCCATTTCAGCTCTGTCCGAGTGACCCAGGTTCTCGCAATGGCATCCAAGTCAACGTGTATTGGTCGTGATGGAAAAAGAGGATGGATCGGTGTTTTGCCGGGGAGTGTCAATGTAGTTGAAGATTGAACGATCAATTCATGGTTGTTTGCTCAAAACCAACTTCCCTATATTTTTGCGGAGGCATCAATACGACAGTCATCGTCTCATCGGTCGCTGTTCAGAAAGAAGAGTGAAACATCGTCAGAAGTAATATAACGATCTATTATTGTAATATTTGTTTACAGACCTTAGTTCGCTTATTCCTTTTATATGTTGGTGTAACAATAAACAAATCTAAAGCGGCAGATCAGTGTTTTGGTTTTTGCGTCCGGTATAACTAAGCGTTTCTGAGAAATCTTCGAAGAACAGCGTGGGCCCGAGCGTAGCGAGAGCTGGGCATTAACGGTTTATGAGACGTGATTGACATTGTGATTTATTATTGTAATATTTGTTCACAGACCTTAGTCATACTTGATTTATATATTGGTGTAACAATACAGAATACTCAAGTGAACAATTGGTTGTTTGGTTTTTTCGTCCGTTATTACTAAGCGTTTCTGAGAAAGTTCAAGCGACAGCGTGCGCCCGAGCGTAGCAAGAGCTGGGCATTAACGGTTTACGAGACGTGGCTGACAATTGGTGCGTGACAGTCTAAGCAATCAGCCAGTTGTGTGGCCATGTAGGGCTCTGCCGTGATTGGATGAAACAAAAGTATCAAAAGCCTTTTGTCTGTAGATTAGAAGCAAACGAGCTTTCAGATGACAGAGCGAATCCGGCCTGGCCTACAACCACAGTGCCGCCTTCTGCTTCATTAGCTCGAAAGCAAAAGTCATTGTTTGTATTCGCAGAAATGTCCACTTAGTAGGTTTGTGATAAGTAAATCTTATGTAATAAGTATATCTCTTTTTTCTTCCATTCCGAGTATAGTCCGAACAGGCACAGGTCAAGCATACGAAGCGGTAAATAATTCTCCCAAATTATTGACCACAGCAATCATCACTCAACATTGGATGCTGACCACCACTGTTTAAGTCGACTTGTTTAGCTGAAGGCTTTCGGTCAAGCATCCCTGTCATTTGGTACTCCGTCGTGTCACGTTCGTGCATTTTGAACTTTGGTTCTAAATAACCATGCACAATTCACTGCTTTGCAGAGTCCGACCTTATTTGATTTGAAGGTCCATCTAGAAATAACACTATTAATTGTTGCAGGCGCACCCATCTCCCTGTCACCATAACATGGTGATTGGTGACTCCTGGGACCACTCTACAGTTCACCTAATAATAGAAGCGCATCACACTTGTCTAAGCGCGAGAATGTACTAAGGTGATTGAGATATTGCCAGAGTGTTAGAATGCAACCACCAAACTCGTTGTGCTCACTACAGCCTCGTTTTCTCAAATTTTAGTCCATCTTGACAACCCCATTTTCACTCCAGCAATACAGATAATCAAACCTGATCTTAATACCCAGGCCTTTATTTAAGCTTGAACTTACTCTTTGTTCATATTTGTTGCTTGCTTGATGTCCGGTTGCTTTGACTAAGAATAATGTTTGACCAAAGCTATATTTTCATCAGAATCGTCATAGTTTCTGTGTTTAGACCAATACGGCTAGCATTATACATTGCAAATGTATACTGTCATTCCAAGGAGTCTCCACCTCCTTCTTGTATCGCGCACGAACATGATATGATGGAGTATCAAATGGCGTGGATGCTTGACCAGAAGCCCTCAGCTAAACAAGTCGACTTAAACAGTGAAGGTCACCATCCAATGTTCAGTGACGAGTCCCCTGGTCGGTCATTTCCGGGAATTATTTACGGCTACATTCTCAACTAGAACCTTTGGTAATAAACTATCTAAGAACCTATAGTCCAAAAATCTTAGGAAAAAGTGGAGGTGGATTGGGCATACAGTGAGGAAACCGTCAAATGTCACAGCGCACAAAGCCATCGTTCCAGTAGAATCCAAATGGGAAACAACGAGTTGGATATGTATCCAAGGGTGATATTGAGGAGGTTGTGTGTGCAGAAAATGAGGGACTATAGGGAATCGTGTGCTCAGCTGAGAAGGACAGCACAAAATAGAATAAAGTGGAGATGTGTTGCTGGAGCCCTATGTTACATTTGAAACCCAGGGACACAATACAAAATTAACCTCTTAAAGTTGAAGTTCCTCATCCTGGACATCATCTTTCTCCTCAGGATGAAGTGGCTTAATAATTTTCGTCCAGTGGACAACGGCAGGATTCTGCGCTGGCTCTCGGGGAGGTTTAAGTCAGAATTCCTCGCAGTTTTATGCCGTAACCTTGCTTCCAATAAGGGGACTGTCAGCCACGTCTCGTAAACCGTTAATGCCCAGCTCTTACTATGCTGGGGCTCACGCTGTTCCTTGAAGTTTCTCAGAAATGCCTAGTAATAACGGACGCAAAACCAAAACACCGATTGGCCACTCGAGGATTCTTTATTGTTACACCAACATATAAATCAAGTATGACTAAGGTCTGTGAACAAATATTACAATAATAAATCACAATATTACTTCTGACGGTTTTGTCCTGACTTCTTTCTGAACAGCGACCGATGAGACGATGACTGTCGTATTGATGCCTCCGCAAAAATATAGGGAAGTTGGTTTTGAGCAAACAACCATGAATTGATCGTTCAATCTTCAACTACATTGACAGTATTTATTGCTTGTGGGGTGATCCCACATTATTTATACATTCTCCCGGCTCTTAGTAACTTTAAGACTTCTGCTTTTGTTGGAGTTCCGCGTTTGCTACTGGTGGTATCTCTGGACGACTTGCAGGTGGTGACAGATTCTAGGGCCTATGCGTCTGCCCTCTTCCAGCATCTTAGTAATTATATTTCCTTGACTATTTATCTCTGAGTTTATCTTTCCCCTTTATAGCGACCTAGTTATATGACACATTCAGTTGTCAAAAGTGCTATTTCTTGATTTATGCTTGTGAATCTAGTAACCACAGTCTGGAAGTAAAGACTGCTTTCACCGAAAATATATTCACAGACAAAAGAGAAATGTCCAGATGTATTTACCTTAGAATGGACCAGCTGTAGTGTTTTCCAGGGTGTCCAGTATCACCGTCCCCACTTCGTTCCACCAGAGATTTACTAGTGGATATGAACCCTCCATACTTCGATATTTCAGAGTTGATATGCCATCAGAGTGGTGTTTTATTGATCCATAGTACGCATATGATATTTTCAACTGAAGCAAAACCCCTAATGAAGTGCAGAGCTTTATAAAAGCCTCCACAGGCTCCCAATTTATGGATAGGGCATGAAACGTTTGGACGTGGCGACCACTGTACTTATTCAGGAAATTGCATAGATATCATTTGTGCGTCGGAGTGGGCTAGAACCCCGAACCATGTGCATGGTAGGCGAGAGTCTTAACCACTGTTCCACCGACGCAAAGGGACATTTGTCAATTTGAGTAATCTTCACCTGTGTGATATTTAGCTATCGATTCGAGGATGCAGTTTGCTTTGTTCTGCTATATGGCTAGGAGTCATGACTGTTCAAAGCCGGAGTTTTAGAGAAACTAGTTGCTGTTGATCAAAAGTGTTGGCGTTAAGGTTCTTAAGCGCAACATGGCGCGTAGACTTATCTGAGTAGGAGTCAATCGGGAAGGTTGCGAAGTTCCATTATCTGAGATGGCCAGGGCATGCAACACCTATGCCAAGCCACCGATAGGCAATGTCACTTGAAATAGGACCAGGTTGGAAAGGAGTTAAAGGTAGTCAAATCAAAACACGGCACCTATCCGTGAAGTCTCCAACTGTCGGTCTAAGTCACATAAAGTGGTGTAGATTGCCTGTCCGTGATGCTAGGGATCAATGGCTAATGACAGTTGCTAACTTGACTCAAAGTCGTTCACAATAACGTAATTGTACCTACGCACCTATTGTGATATTCCAATTCAAGCCCTCACTAAATTCACCTAATTGTTATTCCTATGATTCATCTAAGTCTACCTGAATTCTATATTTTTTTCTCTACTTTTTCAAAAAAATGTCTACACGAAATAATGCACTTTCGCACGTACGTCGTGCTATTTGGACTGTTCAGCCAGTTCAATATATCTGGACTGTTGATTGGATAACAACCTAGTGCTACGTCCTTACTGAAGCAGATATGTCTAACCAACTAGTTGCTGCATTGCATTATAACAGCAGAAGTACGCTTTCTTAAATGGGCTCAGGAACAAGGATATGCACAAAACGAGTAGTTTACTTCTCTTGATTCTAATGCTGAATATGTCCTACTTTTCTCCAAAGGACGTCACAATTCATCGTATTATTTTTTTCTGAGTTAAAATTCACAGAAATAAGTACAAACCATCGCATTATATTCAGCGAAATTATTCGTGTTCAACTGACCTAACAAAGTGGTGTCTATCATCCGAAAAGCTATGTTAAACCTTACTAATCTACTCTACAATTTCGAAACTGTCATTTTCTTCTCACGACAATCTTGTTCACGACTCGTTTGCAAGCTCAACTCACCAATGAGTACAGTTAGAAATTAATGACTTAAATATATTTAAAATCACTTTAGTCATGCAATAGTTTATGGCATAATACAGATCTAGTTAACAGACAGTTTAACAATATTTGTTTAGCCTCCGTATAGGTAACCTAAAGGTAACACTGGGCGAATTTAGCAACCAAGACCAGTACAAAATTTTTGTGTCAATATATAACTTGAGTTTCCAGTACTTCAATTACAATGGAAAATAGATTATAGCCATTGTAATTACGGATTCTAATCTCAAGTCATCTACTTAACCATTTACGTATGTGCACTGAATAAAAGTGAGAACCAAGAACATAAATTTGAATAAAAGTACTTCATTCATATTTATGGCAGTTCAGCAGAAGAATACTCGCCAAACGCACACGTGTTCTGGGGTTGAAGTCCCGGTCGACGCACTCCTAAACCTCATTTAGCCGATAGAAGGAAGGTTGAGCGTGAGGATATCAGATCTACACCGTAAAAATTAAACCACTACTACTGAGAGTTCAAAGCTTAATCATGAAGCTCTATGTCCCACTCGGAATGCAAAGGAAAAAAACTTCATTTAGATGAATAAATTAAAATTACAAACATAGCCATTTATGCAAAGTGATGTAACTATAAAAATGGGCAAATATACATTCATATTATCCCGAAGGCGAATTCTTTTTTTATTTCAGCCAGTTAAAGTGAAGTAATAAGAAGAAAATATATATACAGGATACTTCTGTCGATATAAAAACGAAACGCATGACATTTGGTAGCATTGATAACTTTGACAAACTCGTTTATCGCATAAAAGAAAATGATGCAACAGAAGAATAAACTCTCAAAATTTTTATGTACAACTTTTTGCTGGCATTGTCACATTGCGGATCCCGAGAGAGGCTGCATATAATATTCCTAAAATTCAAGGACACAAAAATATTAGCACATTGCACAACTAATGTTAATTTTTTTTTGGAAATTAATATCGAAGGCTTTATGGCGACTTGAGATGAAACAACACTTCTGAACAGAGGTCACCAAAGGTTTGCGATACCTTTTACCACATCACTTTTTATGCTTCAAGAAATGTACCGCCAATTATGGGAATACATTTATAAGTTTGTTTTCAAGCGTAGAGTGCTCTGACACTACTCATTATGATATGGAGTCAGGCCTAACAGTTATAAGCTGCTTTTGAATTTTATTGAACGCAAAAAATTCATGAGTCGAGAAATGTGACTTGAATTTTAACATACCTCGTAATGCACAAAATGTGATAACTCTGTGTTAAAACCGGTAAGTATATAAGTAACTTATTTAAGTACTAAGGTAGAGTGTGATTCTATAACAGGATAGTTTCTATTTGATAGAACACACAATGACGCAGTGTAGTTTACTAATAACTTCTCGGACACAATTTATATCATACCAAAGTGCTCACATTGATTTCAGATTCACGTTATATAGCTCCAATATATCTTATCCTTTGGTTTTACTAGTAATGATACTTTCCATATCTCCGGTATTACTGTTGCGTTATTCGGTGTAAATCCGATGAACAAGGATTCAATGATCAACATGTTTCCACATAATGGTATTACTTTTTAAGTCTACAGCTCTGTCTCACCCTTGTGTATAAATAAGTACGTGCATTACGATTGGTGAATATTTTCTTCTCGACCTGGCCATCTTGTTAGGACTGGTTATTCTACATTTAGCCAAATATTACGATAATCTGACTACCTCCGACTTACTGGTCTGACCTGTGTAACTGACTTTGTAGTCAGTGCATTCCGTTGATTAAATTTAAGCTGACTGAGTCAGTACGGTTGTTTGTCTGTTTTCGACATAGAACTATACACAAATGTGCGGAAGTTCAAGTCGTCACACTCCGTGTAGCACGCGAAGCAAGAGAAGAAAGTACAAGAAAAGCATAATAGAAACAGTGAGCAGAGGTGTGAGACAAAGGAGTAATAAAGAAAAACAAAACAGTTTCATTGGAGATCATAAGTCACAGGGAGTGGATGCATCTGCGCCACTGAGAACGGTTTTGAGCCATGTCACCAATTGTTTCCAACCATAGATTTTTACCGTCCCGAGGACCCCAGCCTGGAAGTCTACACCTTCCTACGTGGCTTAGACTAACTGTTGTGGATTTCATAGACTGATGCCAAGTTTTCGTTTGACCGCCGCTAGCTTTTTTCCAGCCTGACCCTATATCCGCTAACATTGCTCGTCGAGGGAGGCGATGGCTTGGCATACGTAACACATGTCCTAACCATCTCAGTCTTTGTAGCTTCACGACTTCGTCGTTTGATTTCCCCTGTTTACCTAGAACTCTACGCCTAACCTCCATGTTGCTCACCTTATTATGCCACTTTACACGGGAAATAGAGCGCAGGCACCTATGATCAAAGACAGCTAGTCTTTTCATGTCTTCCACTCTCAGTGACCAGGTCTCACAACCATAAAGGAGGACGGAGCGGACTGATGAGCAGTACACCCGCCCTTTGGTCGATAGTCGAACATCTCGTCTACGCCAGAGTCGGCGTAAACTAACAAATGCGAAACGAGCCCCCTGTATCCGTACTCAGCTGAGATTTCGTCAGAGATCAGCCCGTTGGGGCTGATGGTACTTCCAAATAAGTGAAGCGGTCAACGTGCTCTACCACTTCACTTCCTATTTTAAACTAGGCGTCGATGTAGTCCAGTCCTGTAACAGTCTACAGAACTCGTCTTCTGAGTGTGAACGTTTGAATGGTACCCAAACTTCTCCTTTATCAAGAACCCCACATAGAGCTGTAGATGCCCCACTATACGGTAACACTCGAAGATACTGGAGATCCCACTGCTACCTCTTTTGTCTACACATTTTTCCTTCGGTTTGATATATCTAATAAACAAATTAATACTCAATTACACACTACCACAGTGCCCAAGTTTTACACATATATTAGTAGTTAAATGTAGAGTTTGAATGGTTTCTGATGAGACATACTATAAGTGCTGAATATTTGAACAACTCATGCAGGAATATTTCTGAAAGTGATTGCTGACTAGTGTATTTTTATAGCACTACACATTCTATGAGTATTATAAGTTTTAGACCACTAAATTAAACCGTTTAAAATCGCAGTGTGAGTCGGTGACACAGTGGTTAGGACTCTCGCCGACCATGCATATGGTCCGAGGTTCGATCCCCTGCCGACCCACATCTGATATCTATGGTCGGCCTGCAAAATTTGGGGTAGCGATATCCATGCTGAAAATTTCATTCTTGTACCAAAAATACAGTGTGGAATCATGCTGTAATCAAAAATTAAAAAAAAAAAAATTCATTCGGCGTACTAAAATGATTGTAGATTTTTCAATCCTATCACCGTATCTACAGGTTTCGAAGTCTCTTCATATCCGCCTCTCTAACGCGTCCATTGACTTCCAAAGCATAGTACAATTCAGTCATAACTACTGTTGAGCTACCTCTATCGGACTTCGCAATGACTGTGTTTTTATCAGTTCTAAGATTGATCAGAGTCAGCCTTTCTAATTTGGTTTACTTTACCTTTCTTTTGTTTTAATTCTAATCCACACTGTACTCGTCCGCTGTCTTATTTCTGAACTTACTGCTACCTGTATGCCAGAAAAGCGCATCCTCGGGTTTCAGTTTAACAACTGCCACGTTGACGTTTAATCCTTCTCTGAGCGCTTTCATCTCACTTCAGCTCTTCGCTTTTAATTGTAAGGTATTAACTGCATTAATTTTACATTCTTCCTCATATTCACCAATCACCGTGAAATCACTAAATTTCTCCCACATCTGTAAGTAACAATAATTTAGTCTAACTGATAGAGTAAAATACAGTATTTATAAACCTCAAAAATGAATATCTTATATACGTGAAAATAAATCAAACCTGGATGGTATCCAAGCTCATAACACGTTGCACAGAATGCATCTTCAGTAAACTTCGTCAACTTCATAAATCACTTAAATCCACCATATAATCGGTTTTTATCCAACCTAATGACTTGGTAAATATATTGCATACGTTAAATTCAATTTAACATCTTCAAGTGCATAACATAATTTTGTGCTGTCACATTTAACAGTTTTCCAGACGTATGCTTCAACTGAGCATATTCAATTCAAAGCATCATTTCACCTCGACAACATACATTCGATAATAGAAGCATTTCTGAAAGCAATTAGTTCCCTTTATGAATACACACAAACCAATAAAAAAGGACGCAAATTCTCTGACTCGTGTCTTAAGATTGCACAACGAACTCCCAGCAATCTGATTACACACAAACTTGTCATAGGAATATATATATATGAAATTAATAGAGATAAGAGATGAGAAAATAGACTTAGGTCAAGTTAAAAGGACATATTGAAGGTCAAAATAACAACGAGGATCACTAAACCAAATCACAGAGGTAATAATACATCTGCTATGGTATCAAAACCAAGTTTACCGAGGAAGGTTTAGTGTGATGACGAATTATTTTCGAACGCATAAAGGTGATTTAAACTTGATCATTGTCAGCTAGCGCTTCAACAAACCTTAGGATACACTCCAAACACGTTTTATAGAAAGGTTTAAAAGATGTGTAAACGTCAATTTTATTTTTTTGATTTACAGCTTGATTCCACACTGTATTTTCAGTACAAGTATGGAATTTTCAGCATGGATATCGGTAGCCCAAATTTTATGTCCTGTCTCTATAATATGTTTCGCAACAGAAGAGCTAGGTCTCCTGTTCTCACCATTAATGGGTTCTGGGGATTCTATTTGCCTCTGGAGCCATTTAGGAATATGCTCTGAAGCTCTTACTAGCAGAGATCGATAAGTCCTCCCTATGTATGTGTGTCCACACGTACATTCAAATTGGTAAATACAGTGGGATGTGAAATCATTTTTCGCATGTTCAAAGGGCTTGGATGGATATATTGGCCTCACATTCTTAATTATTATGACATTAGCTGCATAAAAAGTCTTTTTAACCGCAGCTTTCAATCTTTGTCTAGTTGTCAAGCTGCCATAATCCCCCATATAGGGTAGCTTGATGCACACGTCTTTATTAGGGCGAGTTGGAGACTGAGTCCTGGTGTTCTGACTACTTTATATCTCCTGATGAACTTGTCTGGATAATTGTTATCAACCAGAGTTTGTGTCAGCTCTCTTTCTTCCTCATCAAGTGTGTCTTCAGTGCATACTCATTGGATTCTACTGAAGAGGTACCTTACTAAAACTCTTTTGTACCAACCAAACAGAGTAGGAACTGTGATAATTAAAATACTGTCTTGTCCAGGTAGGCTTTATATAAATAGATCGTTTTATTGACTCATCAAGTCGTCGACTAAGCAATATACCTAGGAAAGATAAAAACAATTATCTTCCTCTTCTACAGACGTAAGTGATACGGTATTTTGAACTTCATTCACTCGAACAAGGCTTATCACTTATGATTACAATGTCGTCTACATACCTTCTGTAAAGTGGCACATTTTCGATTAAATCCTCCGATTAACTCTCAATATACAACATAAAATCGACCCCGGAAACACATGTCCAACATCATCTATAGCGAAGCACATTGTTGAAGCAACAATGCATTTAAGCCAATATATAAAACAAGGTTGGATCACATACTCAAATGTATTTGAAGCTTTGGCCATAAAAACACTTAAACCTGTCTTATGTGTCCAAAAGTTATTTGTTATCACTCTAAATCTGCCTTGGTAATCCAATTCAGAACCAAGGATCAATCTACTTCATAATATTTTCAACCCTTTCTTTGCTTTGTTTTTTCTTTCCTACTGACACTTTTGTGTCATCTGCTGACCCACTATTGTTGCCTTCAGCCCTACGCAATCTGACCTGTATTGTAAGTATTCATGCCTTCTATAAAACTGCGTACGACAAGTACGTGTGTGATCAGAATATCCGAAATGTGTTGGGCAAATACATTACACATTTCAGATAAACTACATCTTCTTATTGTGTTTTCGGAGATTCGTATAGGTTTGAGTTGGTCATACGAGTTTTTGAACTTGGCATGGGTGGCTAAATCCTTAAACTGCATGTGATTTAGGGATTTGGCCCATCCCGAGTTCGAAAACTTGTATGACCAGCTCAAACCTTTTGCCACAACACCCGATGAAGATCGGGGTTGGTTTAATATCAAGAAGGCGGATACGGCTCACAAGTTTTCAAACAACAGTCCAAGAGAGAAGATCATTTTAACTTCCCAACATTTCAAAGCCCTGATATGGGTTCTGGAGTCGTCATTATGAACAAAAGTGACTACAAATCCAAAATGTTATCTATTCTTAATGATAAAAGCAAATTCAGCCGTGATCCCTTCTGAGAAAATATTCAGTTGTTGCAAGGCACAGTGACAGCTAATTTAGTGGAACTTCTTGGCCTAAGTGCTACAAGTAAACTTAACTCTTTAAAGCCATCAGAATGTAAATTCCCGCATATGCACGGTCTACCAAAGACACATAAACCCAATAATCTTCTGCCTCTTATACTATCAATGTGAAGATTCCCAACACATAAACTTGATAAATGGCCAGTAGAATTATTGCATCCAGTCGAAACACAATTCTGTAAGCATCTATTAAAAGGTACATTTGAACTGGTTCGTTTTCTTGATGTCTGTCTGTTTTCGACATAGAACTTTGCACAAATGTGCGGAAGTTCAAGTCGCCACACTCCGTGTAGCACGCGAAGCAAGAAAAGAAAGTATAAGAAAAGCATAATAGAAACAGTGATGATATTAATATTGTGAATAAAAGTATGTACTCTTTTGATGTAAACTCTTTATTCACTAATGTGCGTTTGCTTAAAACAATTGACACTTTGTGTGATTACATTTCCACACATAATTTTTTCATCCCCTTCCCTATATCTTATTTAAGCGATTTATTACTTTTATGTACTAGCAATCTTAGGTTTACATTTGAAGGCGACTGTTTCCTTCAGGTTGATGGTGTTGCTATGGGAGGTCCGTTAGGGCCCCTCCTATATATATATATATATATATATTCCTATGACAAGTCTGTGTGTAGTCAGATCGCTGGGAGGGCGTTTCGGAAATTCAAGACACGATTCAGAGTATTAATATTGAAATTCAACGTCAGTTTTAACTAGTTCCCGTAAGATATCTGCCTACTTTGAATTTGTATATGTTACCTCTTTGTTCGCAGATGAACATCCGGAAAACTGAGTTTGGTTGCTTTCATTCAATGGTGTAAATGGTGAAAATTACTTAGATATAGATATTGAAATTAACAGTCTTATTTCAGAAAATATATGCTCAGTATGGAAACAAAAATATTCACCCAAATAATATAAATACAGATTTAGTGCATGGTCATCTTTTTGGATAAATTTTGTGCCTTTTCTTATAACTTTGAGCAGCATATCATTATAGAGATTCTACTGTATTGCTCACTGGGTGAGAATCACGATTTTCAGTCAAGTATACGAATCCTGGTACCACTGCGGACGTCTTGACAGCCAGGTCATATTATTAGCACATCCACAGCAGGAGTGCTTTGTCGTCTAGTGCATTATAACGTGTCTACGGTTGCTGAGTAACATAAACATATACATTACAATCTAAATATTTTAATAAATGCCCCTGTCACGTTTTTCCATGTAGGGAATTCATTTCAGCCTACACTTCCGCACTGTTTCTGAGTCAAACGACATGACAAACAATCTGCATGACAGGAGGCTGTAGGCTTTGAATTTAGGGGAATCAGTAATACACTAATAATGTGAAACAAAGTAGGTTGTTATTATACAGTAGAAAAAGTAGCAAAAACGCTCGTGACTAACCTCTTTGCGTCTTGCTTCCATAAGTTTACGATTGTTTTCCTCCAGTATTTTGTCCAGTTCCGCTTGTTTACGTTTTTCCTCTTCCTGTATACAACATAATATTAAAGAACATTTTTAAGCCATAGATTAAAACGATGTTACACTATGGCATGAACAGCACAGAAATAAATGCTTCGTTAACATATAACTGTTTCATGATCAGTAGCATTTGTAACAAACATATTTTAGCTGCTAATTGTAACACACATAAGCAAGAAACAACTTAGCATAAACACGTGTCAATTCAAATCTCTACACTTTAAACGAAGGAACAGATGGAAGTTAACAAGACAGTGATATATAAGTGATATTAGGAGAGAAATGTATTTGAGAAAAAACGGAATATGATGGTGACGTTTACAAAACTTATGTAAAGAGACAATGTAAGTGGATTTCTACCTCTGACTCTTTTCTACAATAACAGAAAGTCTTGTCTGTCTGTCTGGATTCAACATAGAACTTGGCACCGAAGTGCAGCAGTTCGAGTTGCCAAGTTGAAAGTCGATTTAAGCTGCCCTACTTTTTCCAAAAGAGATTCCATACACTTCATAGTAAGTCAAATACCTTAAATTGGCACCACTTCTCATAAAAGCATGCCAAAATCTTTTGTATTGCAGCCCTACAACGAGTCAGTGTGCTCAAGGTATGTCTGGGCTATCTCAAATAATTGTCTAGCGGAACTTTAACGGTAATACCTCAGCGATCTAGTACGTTTAAGTAGAAACAACTCTGAAGACTCACCCTGACATTTCAGTGACATTTGATAATGGAGACAGCTTTGCTTTCACCCACAGAACCATGTTACTTGTAACATTGTGATGGATTAAGAACAGTTGACACTGTTACGAAAAACCACCTGGATTAATGTAGGGGGGATATAATACTTTCAGTTGTTCACAGATGTATTCAGTTGACGATTGTATCGAGAAAATAGAGCTATACAGGAAAACCACACTGCAACATCAACCCATTATGCAATGCATTCTCGTAGTTCCCAGTACAACAGGTTCAGGTTGTTTGTCTTTAACATTCCTCGGACATAGAGGTCGAGAACTAGATGCAGTAAAAACTAGTTTGTTATACATAATCAACGACCCAATGAAATCATTTTATCACTGGTCATCAGTCCTTAGGAAACATAGATAACTAGGGATGGGGAAAATCTAATTTATTCCATAAAACCCGTGGAACCCGGAAGTCAGTAGCTTAGCATATAAATGAGATTATTTCTAAGGGATCCCCACTGGAATTATAAACTATAAGTGAATGATGGTCTCCTTAGACGTTGCTTATTACATCCGGTTCGTCTGCTCTCGAGAACTTTAGTCGAGCCTTCAATGTCAGAGAACAATCTTTTTGGTTTATTTCTTACACACAAACAAAAATGTACTAACCATTGCCATTATTCTTTATGGTTATCATATTAACTCTTGAATGCCCCTCATTTCAGCTACGGATTTCCAGTGAAAACATAGTTAAAATCAAAAGACAATAATCTATATAGACGAAGTGAGTGTCCAATGAAATGCACAAAGTCAAATGTCAGTAAACGTCAAGTAGTTATACTCTGAAACTTCTTATACTAATGAAAATATGGAGTATGAGTCTACCTACGTCACAGATGATGACTTCTAAAAGTGTCAAAGTATATCAAAACTAAGTAAATTATCCTATTGTACCACAATTTTCAGCTAGTAAAACCTAAAATCTCAGAATTACGTCCAATATAGAAACATTACACACAAACTCGATCAAAAATTACCTCTATACGCTTTTGTTCCTCCAGTTTGCTTTGGTATTCGCGTTCAATATCATCAAGCATTTGTTTGACCTTCTTATCGATTTCTGCTTGATATCTTCTTTCTAACTCAGCCTGGAGATCTTCGGCTCTGTCTACTAAAGCTGCTTCAAAAGCTTCCTTGACTCGAGCCTCAAGCTGCCTAGCCTGCTCCGCCTCTCGTTCACGTTCCTCCTGCAGTCGTCGCTCTCTTGAATAACGTACAAAACAATTTATTATAATTTATTATTTAAACGCATAAAAACTTGGTACAATATGGCACCAAGAAAGATGCGCCACACAATAATAATAAAACAACATAGATCAAAAAAAAGGAAGGAAAAGAAAAATTATATATAAGTAGAGAACGGATAAAGAACTTCATCTGGAAGGAAAACAGTCATGCTTAACAAGTTCAAACAGTGTTCGTTAGCTATCATCGGGAAGGGAAGAAAGAAGGAAATCGCAACACATTCGCCACTGATTACGATTCTTGGCCATATCCGATAACGTTTCGAGCCATCGATTTGAGCTATCTCTCGGACCCCAACCAGGGAGTCGTGACACACCAACCGATGCTAATCTAGCACAAAAATCCTTCATCCCACGACGCCACGTCATGGACTGACCACCTCTCCGCCTTTTCCATCCCGTCCCAGGGCTAGCGAACAGAGACCTGTACGGAAGCCTCTGGGGTGACATTCGGAGCACATGTCCAAGCCACCGGAGCCGGTGTTTCCAGATGACGACATTCAATGAATGGTGATCTCCACTTTGTTCAAACACACGCCGCCGAACCTCAGAATTACTCACGCGATGATGCCATCGAACGCAAGCAATCCTGCGGAGACAGCGGTGATCGAACACGCAGAGTCGCCGCACATCCTCAGCTCGGAGAGGCCAGGTTTCACAGGCGTAGAGCAGAGCAGCCCGCACCGAAGCATTGTATACCCGACCTTTGACAGCCAGGCTAACGTCGCGACGGCGCCAGAGGTGGCTCAAGTTGATGTATGCCACCCTAGCCTTCATTATACGGTTGGAAATCTCATCCGTCACCCCTCCGCCAGCACTCACACAACTACCCAGGTACACAAACTTATCAACAACTTCAAGCGGTTCACCCGCAAGAGTGAGTGCAGGTACAGGCTCCTGCCAATCTTGTAACAGTACTTTGCACTTAGACGGCGCAAAGCACATACCATACTTACAGACACTGATCGCCAACTGATTAAGTGCGATTTGGGCAGCCTGCATGCTATCGCACAGTAAGACGATATCGTCTGCATACTCGAGGTCGAAAAGTCTATCTCCAGGTAGCAGATCTACACCACCTTCACGCACATCCTTCAGAGCTGACTCCAGAATGTCATCGATGGCAAAGTTAAAGAGAAATGGAGAGATTGGGCAACCCTACACCTCTCTCTAACAGACAGTTCCAGAGCACAGTTCTGTCCAACGAATCGAAGGCAGCCCTAATATCAAGAAACACAACGATCGTTGGCCTGCAATACGTGTGGCGGTGTTCCAACAACTGACGAAGGGTGAACACATGATCAATGCATCCACGACCTGAACGAAACCCAGCCTGCTCTTCGCGAATCAATCCTTCACGTATTTTGCACAGTCTGCGAAGCAAGACAGCAGCCAATATTTTAGACGCGACTGGTAACAGACTGATACCCCTATGATTGTCACACGAATTACGTCGACCCTTTTTAAAGATGGGGACGATAATGGCTTCGTTCCACATTGATGGTACACTCTCTGTCTCCCACACCTTCCTGAACAACCCAGTTAGAGCCATTGTGAGAGTCTCGCCACCATCTTTAAAAAGAGCCGGGGGTAATTTGTCTGGGCCGGGCGCCTTATGGCGTTTCAGAACTTGGAGTTCCTTACGGACCTCCGCTTCGGTGGGTGGGTCGGTACTAACCGCACTCGGGCTAATGATAGTAGACACTGAAGCTGGTGGCCAGCTGAACTGCTTCCCGAAGTGCTCTGCCCAGCGTTCCAGGCGTCTTTTCAGGCTGGTAATTGGAGTGCCATCTGCCTCACAGACCGTCTCGCTGACACCTTGTTTCTTGCTGCCGGTGGCTCGTATGAGTTGGAACAGCTTCCGACTGTTGCCAGATGCAGCAGCTGACTCCATCTCACACGCACGTTCTGACCACCAGGCTTCGCGGTCCTTACGTAAACACTGTCTAATCTTGCGCGTGAGCGCCTTTCGCTGATTGTTGTATTCGCTGCCAGCCGGAATGGACCGGCGTTCATCCATGAGTTGCAAGGAACTCGCAGAAACCCAGTGGTTGTTAGCGGAGCATTCTTTCAAGCCGCAAGCGGCTACACTCGCCTTTTGCATGGCACCTTGCACATGAAGCCAAACAATTATTAAAAATGTTAAAAGTCATATTATGTCCACAAGAAATGAATCACACTTAAAGATGGGGACAGCATTTACTTACAAACTTATATACAGTGAACAGACAGTATGGTAAATTTTCTTATGGAATTTACCATATTTTAACGTGTCACACCTTGGTGTCAGCTAGCGCACACTTCACACTCGAAGTGGTGATAAAGAAAACAATTCAAGCAATTGATAAACTATTAACCAGTTTTATGTGAAAACCTTAAAAGTGACATCAAACTGGCTTTCAACTGTGCGTCGGTAGCACAGCGGTAAGGACTCTCGCCGACCATGCACATGGTCCGGGGTTCGACCCCCGGCCGGTGCACATTTGATATCTATGGTCGACCTGCAAAATTTGGGCTATCGATATCATATGCTGAAAATTCCATACTCGTACCAAAAAATACTGTGTGGCTTCAACCTATAATCAAAAAACAAAAAAAAATTGCTGTCACCAAAATATCTTTATACGTAACTTCTCTAAAATGTTAAGTAGGTGAGTTGATATTCACCTTCTTAAGTGGTGGACCACCCAATTGTTCAGAAAAAAGGTCAACTAAAAGTATTACAGAAAACTGACTTTTTATATGCTGTCTCTGTACCAAAATTAACTATTGGTTGTCCATGGAACATAAAATTAGCGTATAACTCAGAAAAAATTCCATTAGTCACTAAAGCTCAAAAAGACAAAAAGAGCGAAGATGAATACAATGATACCAGACTGTAGAAAATGAGTGAGAGAAAGAGTAATACACAAATGTAAACTGAAGACGTACAGTCTCGACGATAAGACGTAAATACATTGATGTCTACGTGAATCATTTAGAGACATACTACCAACACTTCAACTTATAATTTATGGTATTCCGAGGACTTCAAGTAGGGGATCAACATTCAATGTCTTTCTTGATCCGACTGCTCCTACCTTTTTCCAACCTAACCTCACTCTAGATAACATTGACAATTAAAGAAGAGGATTGCTTGGCACACATAAAACATGTTCTAGTTACAACAGATAATGGATACCCACAAAGTGATTGACTTTCTTTAACTAACAAATTATGCTCTACCCAAAAATACTTACCATCTTCCATGTAGTGTACATGCACACTTTTTATGAGTAGTCAGATGTTAATTTGACGCCAAAAATGAAGCATGTTGAAGGATCCTACACAAATTTTCTGTAACTATGCTGAGATTTCGCTAGGAATGATGCAACTAAGTGAATGGAGTGGAAAAGCATCCAGTAACCGCCACAGTACTTTTCAATCCCCAGGCACGAACCAGACATTTAAGATGTAAAGGAAGTTTCCGACAACGATAAGTATTCTGTTTCACAAAATCTGCCGAAGGTTGAATATTCGACTAATGAAACGTCACCATGACTTAGAACCGGTGTGACCTATTTGTACTAGTTTTTCCTGTCAGTTTTAACAGTAAAATTAATTAAAATCATTCCAACTTGTCTACAAAATCAAAACAAGATTTTTCTGTCAGTAAACAGGAAAGCATCATACATAAAAGTTAGAGTGGATGAACGAGAGCTTAGAAAAACGGTCGGCTATAGTAATGCATACCATATGAAGCAGACTCACAATTAATGTTATCGATACCAAAATACTGGAAAAGCTTTATCATCCACCCACTAACATTTTCAACATAGTAAACAACAGACTAACGTATATATATTGTGACTATTCAAAAATCGCAAGTTGGTAATATTAGTAGGAGTATATGAATGATCATATTTAGTCACCATATGAAAATATTGGCCAAAAAGAAGGCTATTGCACAAACTTATTGTATGCACTTTTCAACCATATATTCCGGTTTTCTTAAAGTCAGTAATCATATCTAATACGGCCATTAATACTCTTCTAGTTGTGCTGAGGAACTTCCTATCTGGTCGACTCGCGAGTCCATTGTCCTAACCACTGTTAACAACAACACAAAACGATAAGATACCACCGGAAACGGGACTCAAGAGTACAAGAGAGGAAAGACCGTCGACGTGGAGAGCCTTTATTGTCTCGTATCAACAGTGAAAATGATTGACAGCGCTTGAGTATATGGATGCTTTAAATAAACTCCAGACACCAATAAATTGATGAATTAGAACAGCCAACAACCAATAGGATTTCCAGGTTATTAGTCGGGTGAGTGGAAATCGCGTCAATAAACCAATAAGTAGGGTGACGGAAATGCAACCAGACATGTAAAAATAAGGTATCTATACATAAAATTGAGAGTTCAAACGTTACCGAAAAATTCTGTGTTGACTTTCCAATTATGCTGGAATTCAACTAGACATGACTGTCAAACTGTTCCAAGACATTAGTAATAGGCGGTTCAAATATATATAAATCCATTTAGTACCCTTGTGACCATCAAGGAATTCTTTCCTTTTTTGATACACCGGAATGATGAGAGATTTACAGCAGTCTGATGGAACTGCACTAACTATCTTTTCTTTGTATTTTATAGCTTGATTCCACAGTATTTGGTACAACTATGGAATTTTTACCATGTGATATTGGTAGCCCAAATTTGGCAGGCCGACCATAGATATCAGGTGTGTGCCGGCCGGGGATCGAACCCCGGACCATGTGTATGGTCTGTGAGCGTCCTAACCACTGTGCCACGGTGCACTAAGTCCATGCTGACTCATGAGGTGTCTCAAGAATCTATACAGGACCAACAGGATTACATCTTGACAAGAAGCTGAGCAGACTTGTAGATGTCCGCGGCAGAAGCCTTACTTCTTATTTTGATCTAAATAATAAATATTGTTCTTAAGATCAAGATCTAAGCTTATGCTCAGATCCCAAGCCGTTAAAAGTGCATACTACTGCCCTACATATTAGAACGATTCACATTTGTGGCTTCAACCATATCTACTGATTGACATGAGCCACCCTCTCTTTTCTTGTGATGCTAATCTCTGAGATCTTTTTACAATAACTATAGCTGCATTGCTTTGAGTCCATCCCAATCATACGACATGCTGCATATTAACAGCTTTCATGACAAATGCTTCCTAATAGGTCACCAGACACATAGATACATGAGGACGACCTGAGAGGTATTGCCTTTATATGCGCAAACATTTACATAAGGAGGTTATTGCAAATGACTAGGAAATTAAGTTTTTAAAAATTATGGAATATAGAAGTATTCAATATTATGGTTATAGTCTGATTAGCAGAGTGAAATGAGTAGTGGAAAAGTTAGCGATAAAGTTAGATAGAATAAACTTAATGAAGATAGCCAGTTGGCAGAACTCAATATGCTAAATTTTCATGACTGACTTTTATAATGGTATGCGCTAGACGAATTATCTTATATTACGGGGGCAAAATACTATGAAATTTGTTAGGATTACAAATTACAGATAAGTATAAGCAAATGAGTAGCTAACAACTGAAGGTAGTAAATTCTACACAGAACAGTAGTTACATACGTGATATATATATATATATATATATATATCGTACCCCTATTACGAAACTACTGGAGTTGAACCACCAGGTTTTTCTAACCTGTTCAACTTCAAAATGAAGCGAACACTCGCAGAATTAACCTCTCATTTAAGCTAGTAGGCAACTGTGCGGTAGATGAAAGCCAGTCGAAGTGCTACTCTGTCTCACCTGACATTCCAGATATCGAAGTCATATTCCTCTTGAAAGCCTTGATAAGTTTAAAGCTTCTGGTTGTCACCTACTACTAGTGCCATCTCCATCTTGGCCAATTACAGTGACGCTAACCACATGCTGTCTTGATGCCATGCAACTGACTTTTCCGGTATTTTAGGATAAAAGATATTTGTCCCAGGTGGTGTACCTTCCTGGGTTAATATGATACGCCAACCCCACCTTGTCGAAGTATCAAGTAACAAAGAGGGTTGTTTGCAGCCTCTTAACTAGAAAAATCTCCCAAGATTACGGCAAGCGAAACAATATCACCTAGATGACGTCACAATTGGATTATCTAACCTGTTATACTTACTGGACTAAGGAAATACACGGTAACCTTAACCTTTGTTTGATAAAATTGTGCACGGCTTATCAATAAGTCAACTTTTCGACACACTCTGAAATACTTCGGACGAAAGGAAACCTCGAAAAGCCTTGTTTGTGGTGACATATTTCCAGTCAAATGAGGACCTTGTTCCGAATTTTGTTCCCTCGAGAATGTTGGCCGAGCTTATCCCATTGAGTGACTACACTTTTCGTTGAAATTTGGCCTTTTAAGATGATATGCTTTGGTCGAAGATCTCTTGTTGATAACCTAGAGACGGACTCGTCGGCAGTCCACGCGCGAATTCTCGAACTCGTGGCGACACTGATTAGCAAGTATGCATACGGCCATAGTAGAGTCAAAATTGTAGTTAGAAAAAATGCCTTCTATATGCGGCGGATAACGTTAGAATTACCTTTCCCTTTGCTCTTGAGCGCGCTTTTCTATCTCTTCTCTCCTGCGTGCCTCTTCTATTTTTCTGTCTATCTCCTTCATTCTGGACTTTCGGTTCCGTCTTTCCACTTCGCTATCATAACTTGACGGTGACGATGTCCTTTTCCTACGAGAGAAGTATTTTTTTTCAAAACAGTCGACAAACCTGCGTCGCCTCTCATGACGATGATGATCACGATATGACCTTTCGTTTCCCCTTGATCTTATTCTCTCTCGTTCTTTATCCCGGTACCTATCGCGCTCTTTTACTTTATCTCGTGAGCGACTTCTGTATCGCCTATGCTTAGTCTTATGACCATTTGAAATTGACCGACTACGAGAACGACCCATTGCCGTAACGCCTATTATAAACCAACCGCCCCTTAACGTCGCTGTGTAATCTACCGATGTCAAGCTCGATAGTGAAAATGGTTGAGGCTTATACTAGTCCATTCATAGTATTTATTTCCATTCCCAGGTATTCTCCTGAATGAAGCAATCAACATAATAGTTCCAGCTTCTTATGGAAACTCCTCATGTTTGTAGAGTAGAATTTTCTACCAATATGATTTTAGAGTATATGAGCAGTATATTGCCAATTTTTGTGCTGTAAAGCCGTCTACAGAAGGATGTAATAAAAACGTTTCAGTCTGATAGTTTGTCGTGTCCTTCTACTTAATCTAAGCGAACGTTTCTAAAACTAATTCATGTACATGTGTTAGGCTTTTATACAAAGTGATTTTATGTATACTTACAGAACATTTTCCATTATGTAAGCGGACATTGACTATTGATTGTCTTGTTGTACATTGCACGGTTAAGCACCACTTGTTTTGGTTCGTATACTTTGGAAATTCAACTTTGCTACTAATACCACTTCCTAAGAATTCACTTGTGACTATCCGATAATACGTTGTCGGTGTTTAGTCGGACACAGCACTTGGTGCATTAGAAATCATGAAGACGCAATTGGATTCAGATAACTGATTGGAATCAGACTTCAGCACTCACCAAGTTCCATGTTAGACGGGCGCTACTGCCGTATCCTCATAACCAGTTTGCTTTTGTAGGATCCTGTCACCACACCCTCAAACACTTCCGAACAGGAGGTTTTAGGGCTTGATAATTTCTGAGTAGTGAGTCAGGGACATGATATTCGATCCGATACGTTTCAACCCTAGCATTTTAGTATCTCGTCTAAGTTGTTGTTAGACCTTTCATTAGGCATGTTGTGAAATGGGTGAGTACTGAGGATGAAGTGCGAATAACTTGGCTAGTTGAGGTATTCCTTCGTTATTCAAGTATTGGTTTCCTGTGATTATTTTGTTCTCAGGATTCCATCACGGGCTGGTACTGGTGAGGGAACTAGTGGGTTCCATGGGTGTACTGGACATCCATTTCCTCCCAGCTTGGGCCTCTTTATCAGTTCGCACCCAGTTTGGTTCGAACCGAGGGCATACTGTTTACAAGGCGAGCTCGAAGACAATTTAGGAAATGGAAACCAATCCAATTGCCCATGAATCCAAACTTCTGCCAACTGGTGATAAAGCATGAACACTGGCTTATGTTCTCGGCCAGTATTTGTGCTCACTCTCGACCTGCCGTATCCTACTGGTCTCGACTTCTCACTAGAACCAAAGAAATTACCTATCTGAACAGGGCCAGTCGCTCGTGGCATGGTTATTGAATATGACACAGAATTTTCTCCCAACTGAATGTTTTCCCCAGAGCAGTTACACCTGCCCTTACGAACAATTACTTCAGTTACTGCTTTAAATAACCGAACATATCATATCTTATCTGTTGTGGGTGTTTAAGTACTAATATTTACCCACCCTTTAAAATATGTAGTTTCCCGATTTCTCACAAAACCTTGTACATGTGACAGGAGTGAGGCAACACAATGTTAGTACAGTAGTTTCTATGAAAATCTCACGGACTAATGTCAGAACAGAGAGGGTGGGGCTTTCTGACCGCGAGATATGTTGAGGGCGCGGAAGTTCACCGCCCCTATGTGTAAAGTGAGAACACTGGCTTCAAAAACTCAGATTCTAAATTTTTAAACAAATAAAGCAAAACCTTGATAACGGTCAGTGATACTGCCTACAAGTCTATCACCATTACCAACAGAAATTCATTCAACCTGAAAAGGGTTGTAGGCGTACTGGTGTAAGTCCTGCGATTCTACGAAGGAATTCCACCAAGACATGATCCGTGAGGTTATTTATACTGTTTGTATATACGTGTGGTGTGTCATATCAATTGGTGTTTTTGGATTCATAGTGTTTACTTGTTGTTTTCATACCTTGTTGTTATTGCATAATTTTGTTAAAATTTTCGTCGTGATTACTTCTGAAGTTGTTTCTAGTCTTCTACATCCATGAATGAATTGATTGATTCTAAGGACAGCAGATGGGTCGTATACGCCGGGGAGGCTAGGCTATTGCTGAGAATGAAATGCATACGGAGATAGTTCTTAGGTGCGGTCCCACACTACGGGGAGCGAAAGTGTAAACGACTGAGGCTCGCATACGTCACCGTTACTAGAACTGAGGCAGAATGAGTGACAAGCGATTTCAGTGGTAATTGGTAGTGAGTAGATACGAGGATGTGCGTAGAGTATCGTGAGGTGGTGCTATGGTCACGTTGCATTCTGCAAGAGTCATTCTAGCAAGTGGCGATTGTGTTGCAAGATGTCAAGAGGACACCTTTAACTGGAAGGCGCAGGTCGTCATTGATGTGTGAGATTGTGCTGTGGGTATGCTTGTGGTGTGTTGGCTTTTCTGTTTGTTTTCCATTTCAGCTCTGTCCGAGTGACCCAGGTTCTCGCAATGGCATCCAAGTCAACGTGTATTGGTCGTGATGGAAAAAGAGGATGGATCGGTGTTTTGCCGGGGAGTGTCAATGTAGTTGAAGATTGAACGATCAATTCATGGTTGTTTGCTCAAAACCAACTTCCCCAATTTTCGCGGAGGCATCAATACGACAGTCATCGTCTCATCGGTCGCTGTTCAGAAAGGAAGGTAAAACACCGTCAGAAGTAGTATTGTGATTTATTGTTGTAATATTTGTTCACAGACCTTAGTTAAAGTTTATTTATATATTGGTGTTACAATAAAGAATTCTCGAGTGGCTAATCGGTGGTTTGGTTTTGGGTCCGTTCGTTCTAAGAGTTTCTGAGAAGCTTCGAGGAACAGCGTGAGTCCCAGAGTAGCAAGAGCTGAGCATTAACGGTTTACGAGACTTGGCTGACAACCTCCATAGACCGTTTTATACGCTGGTCTAAAGCAGTACCCTTCAAGGATGTATCTGCTGAAACATTCGCACGTGTCCTTGTCGAATGATGGATGGCAAGTGTTGGAAAGCCATCCTCGATAACAACTGATTGCGGAACGCATCTCGAAGGTGGCTTGTTCTTCACATTGATTAAAATCCAAGGTTGCATGCACTTTAGATCTACAGCCTACCGTCCTGAAGTAAATGGTATGGCAGAACGTTGACGCCGTCAACTGAAGTGTGGATTATCAACAGCGAAAAATGTACATTAGACTGAATCACTATCGTTGTTTCACATTGGAATATGAAACACCTTGTAAACTAATGCCAATTGTACCACTGCTGGTCTAGTATATAGATCAAAACTTCAACTGTTGTGTGAGTTTATTTCCCCCTCCAGCTTACCACCACGCCTCGTAAGCCAGCAAACCTACAAATGCATTACTCTCAGTTAAACCGATTCCCCTCCCACCACAGTCCATAAAAGTCTGTGTTCACTAGACCCGGAAACTTCTCAGCGTCCATTGGTTCATCGTGACTCCGTACATCGTCTTGTGAAACTCCCATACGATGGACCATACAAAATCACTAAACATACAGATAAATTTTTCCTCTCAGACCGAAGAGACCACAAAGACTCTGTCAGTATCTATTTTCTGTGGCCGGTCTACTTAGGTGGCACTCTTATGGGCCTCATACTAAGCGTTCAGTATAATATACAGCTGACTGAATACCCACCAGTTATCGGAAGGCGAAGGCGACGGAGCCTTTAATCGAGACTCAAAGGAAAATACGTTCTGGGCGAACTGCGAAATTCGCAGAGCGCCTTCAAACATATCTTTCGTAATAGGACTACTGTGCTCCAACCTACTTCTAAAAACTATATCGCTCACAGCACAGGCATATAGAGTGACTTTCATTGCCTCTCTCTACATGGGTGAAAATGTTCTTTATGGCCGTATATGTGACATCAACTGCATAATGACTCTAAATCAGTGTTCTCTTTTAAGAGTTATTCGTATGATGTAAGTATGCACTAATTACACCATAAGTTTTGGTATATTTCGACAAATTTCTCAGCCTTCATGTTTTCTTTACAGGTGCGACGGGCACTAGACAAAAAGCAAAGGAAACAAGACATCCAACTGAAGAACATCAGTGAAGCGATGTATATATACTAGATTAGCATAGGTAGACGATCAGTAGCCAGGTCTGTCTGTCTGTTTTCGACATAAAACTTTGCACCGATGTGCACCAGTTTAAGTCGCCACACTTCCTCCTTGTAGCACACAAAGAAACACAAGAAAGCAGAAGAAATGCATAATAGAGACAGTAAACAGAGGTATGAGACAAAGTAATAGTAATAACGAAGAACAGTATAGTTTCATTGGGAGTCATAAGTCACAAGGAGTGGATGCATCTGCGCCAGCCCTTGAGAACGATTTTGAGCCATCTCACCGATTATTTCCAGCCATTTGGTTTTACCGTCCCGAGAACCCCAACCTGGAAGTCTGCACCTTCCTACGTGACTTAGACTAACTGTTGTAGATTTCGTTGACTGGTTCTGTCAATGTAGTTGAAGATTGAACGATCAATTCATGGTTGTTTGCTCAAATCAACTTCCCCAATTTTCGCAGAGGCATCAATACACCAGTCATCGTCTCATCGGTCGCTGTTCAGAAAGAAGTCTGGAGAAAACCGTCAGAAGTAATATTGTGATTTATTATTGTAATATTTGTTCACAGACCTTAGTGATAACAATTTTTATATGTTGGTGCTACAATACAGAATTCTCGAGTGGCCAATCGGCGTTTTGGTTTTCGCGTCCGTTATTACTAAGCGTTTCTGAGAAGCTTCGAGGAACAGCGTGAGTCCCAGCGTAGCAAGAGCTGGGCATTCACGGTTTGCGAGACGTGAATGACAGGTTCCATGTTTTTGGTTTGACCACCACTAGCCCTTTTCGGCCTGACCCTATATCAGCCAACATTGTCCATTGTCGAGGAAGGCGATGACAAGGCATACGTAACACATGTCCCAACCATCTCGATCGATGTATTTTCACAGCCTCGTCGATTGATTTCTCCTCCCTACCTAGTACTTGACGCCTAACCTCAATATTACTCACCCCATTATACCACCTCCTACGGGAGATAGAACGGAGGCACCTATGATCAAAGAGAGGTAGCTAGGCTT